AACTGAAAAACTTAAGAGACTTCCACAACAAATATCTCACATAATAAGGTGACAAATTTTAGAACCATAGGGACAACGAAAATGAAATATAGAGACAGAAATGAATTAGAGTAAGGGGTCAACAGATGCATAAACAACACTGGGCTCCTTCCTTCAAACATTCCTTCCTCTACAGAAACTGCACAAGGCAAAGACCGATGAATCGTAGTATTAGAAACATGTGTATAAATAAAGACAAATCTTAAGTTGTATTAACATCAAAAAGGCCAAGATTTAGCACTTATTACTTACCTTAGATTTTACAATCACATTCGTGCTTCATCACAAATATACAAATAACTTGCAAGGAGAATGATTGTTTGTTCATCCTAGCCACTCAAATTCAAAAGCACTCTTACCTGTCAACAACTACTTCTCACTCGGCCAGAGTTCACAATTTTTTTTAACACTCTACAGCCGAAGATAATTCAAAATGCCTTGCAGCCACTAAAGGGTATGCCAACACATGAGATACTATACCAAGAAAACCAGGGTAAAGCTAGACCTTTATTGGCACTATACTCAACAACAATAGCCTTGGTCTATGCCTCAATCTTTAGTCCTAACACAACATTACAATATGGACTTTTTGTAAGAATGAAGGACATTAATGACACTAGAAGGAAGTGCCCAAGCTTAGGTCAATGGCATAGCCGCCAAGGTGGTACAACAAAACATATGAAGTAGGCGGATATTGTGAGTACAAATCTAGCAGTGGAATCAAATCTAGTATTTTAGTACAAATTGGTACACATGTTGGTTTTTGTCCATTGAGTTTCAAGGCTAGACACACCTAACACCATACCTATTGTAATTCCATAATGAAGTCTGGGATGGGAAGGGTACGGTCTACGGAGACCTTACTCAAAAGAAAAGTTTTTGAAGCAGGAGCAAAAAAATGTGATAGCAAATAGCAAGATACAAAACAAATGAAGTTAATCGATAAATATTTCACACTAAAGAAAGGGAAATATGCAACTTCTAAATAATACTACTAGGACGGAGAGGAAAATATGCAACTACTAAATAATACTACTAGTATTGAAAGGGAAATATGCAACTACTAAATAATACTACTAGTACTGAGAAGAGAACAGTAGGAGGGGCTTACCCCCTACTATCCCACATAAAGTGGGACAATACTCGATTTTCTACTATCACTCAACCATCGTCCACCACCATACCTACCTATCTAGGTCTCGGTAAGTTGAACTTGGGTCACTTGTCTAATCACCTCCACCCCCACACACACCCGGTTCATTTTTAGCCTACATATACCTCTCTGAAATCCTGCCAAAACCAACCTCTCAACCTCTTCATTGGCGCCTCAACACCTCCGTTTCACATGACAAAACCATCTCAACCTTTTTGGTCATCATGTACTCCTCAAGGGCCATCCTCATCTTACCTCGTTTAACTTGGTTCCTAATGATATCTCTCCTAGTATGTCTGCACATCTATCTAAACACCCTCAATTTCATTACTTTTATCTTCTGAATGTGTCATTACAAGACTTTGCCTCATAATGCATAACAAATGTTTGTCTAACCTGACAACCATTCTGTAGGACTTACTTTAAATCTCGACAACACATACTTATCACTTAGTACCCTAAAAGAGAGCTTCCATTTCACCTACCACGCTCTAGTCCAATCGATATGCCCCATACAACAAGAATAAATCTTGTCTCTTATGATATTATAAAACACATAAACATAAGCAATTGAAAATATTATCAAGTTGACCCAATAAGAAATTCCAAGTCTCTGTAGAACTGCACTGAGCGAACTGATCAAGTCTGTTATCGTTCTATTCCAATAGCAAGGTGTACTTGCAAATGTATTTAATTTTCAAATTCAGACATGATTATTTTAAAAGCACATCATAGAATTGCAATGGAAACTAAATATTAGCTTTCATACTATTAATTTGCTCAAAAGAAAAAAAATTTACCCGATTAGGAATCTAGAGCTTGAGCACGGGTTCTTCTTTCTGATCAGAAAAATAATGAAGGATGTAAGGGGTGATTCGAATTACAGCAACCCAAACCCCAAAGAGGGCCACATGAGTCCCCAACTGCTTCAAAGCATCTGCTTTTTCAGGTTTACCCAACTTTGGAGGCATCGTTCTTCTGCGGATTTCTCTCTTCATAGCTTAAACCCTAGCCTAGCCTTGATTACTTCACCATTAATCAAACTTCTTGTTTAAATATATGGACTACTGGGCCGGGTTTGGCAAAACTTCAGCCCGTTTAGTTTACAATATCTTTCAAAATGTCAAAAATGATACACTTAGGGATGTCAAAATGAGTCAAAATATAGGTAATCCGTCCAAAAAATTTATGGGTTGGGCTTAAGATAATTTGAATTGAGTTCAATCTTAACATATTCAAGCCTTAATCCATTTTAAAAGAAACTTCAGTTAAGCCAATTAAAATGCATTCACCCCGCTTAAGACTCTTTGTTTCCATTGATGTAATCTGTGATCCTATATTGACGATATGAATTGTTATCTATTTATTTAAATTTTAAATATATAAAAAGTGATTACATCAAAAGGGTAATGTAAATATGGACAAATTTTTACCGTTATGTCAAGACTCTAATTCATCGTGAGTGACAATCACACTAACCTTCTGGTGGGAGAATCAATTATCAGCCCGTACCTAACCCATCAGACCATTTTAAAATCAGCTTGTGATATAAAATACTGAGAAACAGGGCTTAAGCAATTAAAAGTTTGAGTTTCCATAAACTCAAACAATCAATTAAATCAATGGCGGAATAAACTCCCTAGAACATTAAAGTCATAGTACCAAGACATCTAAGTCCTCACCCTGTAATAGTATGATTATCGACTAATTCCAATTAAATAAAATATGAATAGGCAACCACAACTTAGTAAAATAGATAATATACAATTGAATCACAATCATAACGTAGTCCGAATCTCAGTCCTTACCCTGTGTTGATATGCAAAACAAACATAAACAACCACAACACAACGAACCAATGTGGTTCTCTCATGGAAACCACACAAAAATTGTTGGTGTGTCAGTGTGGTACCTGATCCAACCATTTATGGGCATCTCTATACTACACGTGATATTCGAACCAATCATTAGTATATATCATGTGTGGTATCTGAGCCAACTATAGGGATATCATATACCATGTATGGTACTCAAGTCAACCATCAAACACATATCACAATCACAACCTCATTGAATAACAACCACACTTGTACACCTAAGTAAACACATCAATTGCATGTGTTTAATCACATTTAATGTTTCAATTCATATTGTTTTTTCCCCTAATCATCTATCATGCATGTAATACTAATGAAGTAGTCGAGTCAACAAAACAAATACTAATAAAGTAGTTGACAAGCATATATAACATAAATGAGAGAACGACCAACCATCACCTACCTCAAATCAAGTCTTGAAATCTCTTTTGAGATTGAACCGAAGATTTGTAGTAGATTCTGGTTTGTTCTTTGTCTAATACAATACAAAATACAATAATGGCCTAAAATACCCGAATTGTAATAAAATCCTAACACTTATGTCATTTCCGTGGTCAACCCTACCCAAAGGTCTTTCAACATTAATTCAAGTCAAACTTTGCCCTAAGTCACCCAATAAGGATATTAAGGCCTCATAATCACAATACCAAAGTAGGGCAAGTAATTAACTTGCCTTTATTGATGAAATTGATGGAAATAGGTTGAAATTCAACCCAAGGCCGCTCTTTCCACTTCCCAAAACGAGTTTGCAGAATTATGAGCAGTTTAGGTGAAGTTTCTACATAAATTCATGACTAACTCCAGTATAGGGCTTCGCCATAACGGGACCACTCACTGTAGCAAGATTTATTTCCCCGCTATATCGGATTCCATGGGCAGAGACTTGAAATTCTCTCCAAAAATCCATATTTTGCAAGAACACTTTTAAACCTCGACCTACTAAACTAGTCTTTTCATGTCAAGTTTTAGATCAATAATTTTACTTACCCTAATTCGATTTCGATAAGTGTTATAGTTTCCTTAATGTCTTAGTTATTAGAAAAATTATCTTAAGTATAAACATTTTAGCCAATCTATTCTTGGATTGTTTAGACCTCACCTTGCTCAGATTTTGTCTGAGACTAGCCTAACCCCAAATTTTTAAATGACTATTCCAAAGGGTTTCTTATCCAATTTCTTCCACCAATGGTTTACCCATAACGACCGGAAGGATTACATTGAACTTTTGAACCTTCTTCACAATTTCTGTTCTGGTTGATTTTGTCCTTGGATTTCTTGGAATTGATGTAAAAGAAAACTCGAAAAGTATAATAATAGCTTCATCTTTATTTTCCGTAGTTTTATGTAATTTTTTCTTCGATGTCTCTAGGACTTTATCATGAATATACAAAGAATAGAGTATTAAACTTCAAATAATATGATTATTGAGCAAGTGATCTTAAATCCTTCTTATAAATATGGTAATCTTAATGTATAGAGGGAAAACATTAGAAGCCAAAATGCCTCAAGAGTTTAGACATAGAAAAAGGAAAGGTAGAATTGTTTCTGAACATGACAATATGTGTAAAATTAGGAAAGAAAATTTTATAATATTTACGAAATTAATAATTCTATAATATTTAAAAGAGAGTGTAAATGATGATAACTTTTTTTAGGTAACTAACTTGTTTCCATTAATCACCCGTAAAGCAATACAAAGCAACCAACATCCATAGTTAGCTAGATTCTAATATTAAAAAAAAAACACCACTATCGTCGCTCTCCTCTACATGCTATACACAAAATCTTCACTTCTTCTCTTATAACAACCAAGATTGAACTAAAGGCCTAGCCTTTGAGGAGGCTCTAACATTACAAATAAAAACAATAGTTGTAGTAATTCTATCTACTCCATTTGTCCTTTGCTCAAACACTCTTTAATACCTATCAATCTATATTGCATAGATAAGTTCAACATACACCATTCTGAAACTCTGAGCCCTTGTTGTTTTCCCCTTTGCATTCTTTAGAACCCAGAAAAGGTGTTGCTGCCAGTCCCCACCTATGTCATACGACATCTGCATCCAAGTAGCAAGTCCAACCTAAAGGCTTTTGGTATAAGAACATTTCACAAACAAGTGATCTCGTGTTTTATCTCCATTTTGGCACAACAAACATTGTGGCTCCACCTTGGCTCCCCATTTCAGAAACCTCTCTTTTGTGAGCAACTTAGCTTGCATCTGTAGCCACATAATAAACATAGCCTTTGATCGAGAAATATCACTGAACATACTGAACATTAGGCATTTCCAGGGCATCCTCATACCATCTCCTATTTTCTCAAATAAAGTTCTTTAGTTATAGCCTGTTGATTCACAAACCGACAATTGTTTCGCACCATCCTAGCTTCCAAAATCTTCCTAGGTATTCAACATGCATGTTGAGGAATAGGCATCACCTGTATATCATAATTTTTTTTATATAGTATCTATGTATCCATCTAATCCACATCTTTTTCTACTTATGATTAAGATCCCAAAAAGTCTTAGCAATTGCAGATTTGTTCCATAAATACAAATTAGTAACATTCAGTCTACCTGGCAGATTTTGGTGTACATATTTTTTCCCAAGCAACCAGTGCTTTCTTGTTTATATGATTTGTACCTGTCCACACATAGCCCTACGATGAGCCTCAATAAGTTTTACCACTTTGTTGGGCATTAGAAATACTTGTGCCCAATAAGATTGGACCAAATAAAACTGTTTGAACTAGCTGTAATCATAGGATACTCCCTATATATGATAATTTCTTTGCTGTCCAAGATGATATTCTGCTGACTATCTTCTCAATGAGCAGTTGCCACTGTATTATTGGCAACTTCTTAGTTGATAGTTGAACACCTAAATACTTAAAGGGTAACTCCCCTGAAGAGTATCCTTAGTGGCGAAGGAAATCTTCTTTTACTTATGTTTGCATACTTCCAACATAGACACAACTCTTACCTAGATTAGCTTTCAAACCAAAAGCTTGAGAAAATTGCATGAAACACTATTGTAATTCAGCCACATACCTCAAATCACCCCTAGCAAACATTACCAGGTCATCCGCAAAGCTTAAATGAGTAATATTCAGTTTGGCACATTTAGGATGAAACTTGAAGCCCTTATTCCCTCGTAGCACATTCAAACATCTACTAAGATATTCCATGGCAATGACAAATAAATACGGAGACATATGATCTCCTTGTCTAAGCCCTCTTGCTGCACCAAAAGGCTCAATATGCTTCATTCACCACAACTAAAAAATTAACAGTCTGAATGCACTCCATTACCCAACCAATAAGCCTTTTGGGAAAATTCATTGCTTCCAATACTTAAGTATATCCACTCAACAGTATAAATCAACATTTATCATACACTAAGGAGATATATGCTTCATACTATAAGTATGCACTAGTTCATTAGCCAGAATAATATTACCTACTATTGTCCTCCCAGGTATAAAACCTGCTTGAGCTTCACTAATAACTCCAGCAATCACCATTTACATCCTAGATTTTAAGACCTTAGAAATGATCTTATACTAAATAGAGCAACAAGATATTGGTGTATACTCTGTTATAGTAACAGGTTGAGCTGTTTTGGGAACTAGAGTAATTGTTGTGCACTTGACAAGTCTATACATGGTACATGTTGCGACGAAGTCCTCCACAACTGCTATAACATCAACTTGAATCACTGGCCATGCTTCTTTAAAATAAGTAGCATTGTACCCATCCACACCAGGAGCCTTGTCAAGACCAATAAATTTGAAGCCCTCCATAATTTCATAAATGGTCGCTTCTGCACATAATTGTTAGTCCTTAACAATACCAATTGGTCTAAGGATTTGTCTAAATAAAATGTATGTACGACGTTAAACTTAAATTCTACTTTAAATGATAAAAGCAAAACTTAATTAGGTTGCTTGTCATTACACAAAATCTAAATTAGTATATCATTTCAATGGAAATTGAAGATAATTTAAATAGACTAAATGAAGTATTCAACATGTCATATAGGTTATATAATTTGTTGTGATATTATAATTCATTTTTTCGATAACAGTCATCCACTATAATAATAATTCAGTATATTTAACAACCATTTTTTTATGGAATAGATCTTTTATGTTAGTTGTACTACATGTTTTTTTGATTAATGAAATTTCCCATATCAATAAATGAATAGTATCATAGGATCCTTATAAGGCTTGATTAATCATCTTCCATTTGAACTAGATTTTGAGGTGTGAATTAGGTCCAAGTTTAGACTCGTTGGATCTGATGTGATGCCCTCGAACTGTGCTGGGGGGGGGGTAGATATACTCTTGATCCATGATTGTACACGATCTAGATCGGCAGTGAAACTACAAAATAAGAATGTTCGAATGCGGGCTTGGATGAGTGGAACTACGGATACAAAATGTTCAGATGCGGGCGTGGAGGAAGGGGTGATAAATGGCGTCCCATATATGCGAATGAATAAAATCTTAGTTTTCTTATAGCATGAATGGAATATCCCGAATAAAGAATATATGAATATATACGTGGAGGACGGGATGTCCTTTATAGGTAAATGAACAGAATCATAGGCTCCTTATAAAACACAAATGGAATGTCCCGCATCACTAATGAATGGAATCGTGGACTCTTCATGAGAATTGGACTCGACCTTATTCTAGGCTAGCTTTTAGGATATGAGTTAGGCCTAACGCCTAATAACCCGATAGTAGATTCAAGCTCATTGAGTCCAATATGGCGCCCTCAGATTACATCGGGGATGAGAGGGAATATAATCATGGTCCATAACTATGCACGCTTCAGATTTGATAAATGATGCAAGTGTATTTCACTTCATAACCAAAATGATAAATTACACCTAGAATATATAGATAAAGCTAGACACAAAAGGTCGAGAGCATATCCTTGATAGGTTACCTACCATACGTACAATATTTGACTATTAGTCATTACCTACAATACTTGACTATTATCTTGCACACAATCTAATAGTTAAACTACTCTTTGACAATATCTTAACACCCCCCCCCCCAGCTGGAGCATATATATCATATGCTCCAAGCTTGTTGCAAATGTATTCTACTCGAGTTTCTTTAAGGGACCTGGTAAGAATATCTGCCAATTGGTCATTTGAACAAACAAAGCTGGTGGCAATGCATCCGGACTCAATCTTTTGCCTAATGAAATGACAATTCACCACTATATGTTTCGTTCTTTCATGGAAAATGGATTTGAGGCAATACGAAGGGCAACCCGATTGTCACATATAAGCTTAATTGGTTTGAATTCAACATATTTCAACTCTTGAAGAAGTTGTTTCAACCAAATAAGCTCGCATGAAGCAAGGGCCATAACTCGATATTCTGCTTCTGCGGTAGATCTTGCAACTACATCTTGCTTTTTACTTTTCCAAGAGATTAAATTGTCTATAATCATGACATTATACCCGAAAGTAGAGCGTCTATCTGTTAGAGAACCTGACCAATCCGCATCACAATATCCAATGATGTCCGCGTGACCTTTGTCTTCATATAACAATCCTTGTTCTGGAGCTCTTTTGATGTATTTGAGGATGCGAATTACTGCATCCCAATGATCTTTACAGGGAGCTTGGAGAAACTGTATAACCACAGTTATTGCAAATGAAATATCCGAGCGTGTAATAGTTAGATAATTCAATTTACCAACCGGTCTTTGATATCTACCAGGATCTTCCAATAGCTCCCTCTGTCCAAGAACAAGTTTGATGTTTCTATACATAAAAGTGTCAATTGTTTTTATTTTGGAAAAAATATTTATTAAGACTTGTTTGGAGTCGGCATTTAATTTTTTAAAGAAAAAAAACTATTTTTTCTTCCAATCAACTAAATAGGAAATCAATTGAAAAGAGTTCAAGGGTTTCGAGGTTCATATTAACGTTTTAGGAAGGTTTTGAAAGCGCCTAAAACACTCGCTTACTTGTGATTATGCGACAATTAATTTGTTTTGACTAAAAGACTTAACTTGATCTTTTTCTGAATTAAACAATTCTTATCGTCATAACCATTTAAAAGGGGAAAGGAAAAGATATTAACTTGTTACCCAGGTGAGATATTTGCTTTCAAAATTTTATCTTTTTAACTCCATTTGAAGATCGTTAATTTTAATTGAATTGTTAAAATGAGATGGGCGTCTCTCGAGGATTTGAACTTTTCAACCTTAAACTAATGACAAACATTAATACGCAAATAAATATAGTAAAGTAAAGAAGAGAAGAGAGTTGGGTCCAAGTCTAACTTCTATCCGTCTGGGCCAGTACTTAGGCCTCTTTGTTCGGTATCCCAACAAAGCATATGGCAACATATCATGCTAACCCCGGTGATCGGCAATCATTTTTTTCAAATCTTCTTGATGTTCTTGTTGACAGCCTCTACAACTCCGTTCATCGAAGGACGATAAGTCGTTGAGTGATCTTGAACTGCTCACATATATCTCTCATCAAATGATGTGGAGATTCGTACCATTATCAGAAATGATGGATTCTGGTACTCCAAACCTGCATATCAGATTGTTGCGGACAAAGTTAGCTACAACTTTCTTAGTCACTGACTTGTACGAAGCTGCTTCCACCCTCTTGGTGAAGTAGTCAATGGATATGTGTCTGTTAGAAGCAACTGGCTTTATTTGACCAATAACGTCCATGCCCCAAGCTACAAACGGCTAGATGAGGAATTGGCCTAGACAATGCTTGATCAACATTCTTTCTCTTCGTCTCTGCTTCTCATCTGTGGGGACATACCCCAAACCAAACTTTGCTCCTTTGGCGGGAATTTGGATAGGCTAGACAATTCCCTAGAATTTTTTTCCAATTTAAAACTACTCTTTTGCATTATAGTAGGAATCTTTTTGTATACAAAAGGCATAAGGGGTTGTGGAGCTAAATCATCGCCTATGGCATTTACCATCTCCACTGTGTAGAAATCACAACCTTGAGATACTTCATCAACGATCGTTAGATAACCATTGGAATGGCTTCCTTCACCATGAATAACTAAATCATGTTCCTTCCAAACAAATTTCATTAGTTGGTGAAGGGTAGAAGGCACAACCCAATCATGTGGATGAACGACATCCCCAAAAGCAGGTTGTAACTAGTGTTTGATGTCAAAAACCTGGAACTCCACGGTAAACTGTGCAGGACCATCTGAATGTTCAAGTTTACTGCCCCCAATGTGTCTCTTTGCACCCCATCGAAAACCATTACATTGACCTGTTTCTATTGAAGCTTCCCCAAATTAAAATTTAGCTGCCTAAGAGTCGATAGTGGGCAAATATTGAGACTGGATCCATCGCCGACCAAGACACAATTTATAACCTTGTCTCGACATGCAATGGTGCCATGGAACAAAGTTTTCGTTACAAAAACTCATTCGGTGTCCTCGAATGACCTAGTTTATCATAACTACTATATTGTCACTATTAGTGCCCACGGACACATATGTGTCATCCAAAGCCTTCATTAAGGCTTGACTATTCAGATGCGAACTCATCAACAAGGCCCACATAGAAATCTGAGCCGAAGTCTTCCTGAATTCTTCACAATCGAAAAGTCCTTTGGCTATATTTATCCTTCAAAACTCTTTAGCCTCGGCCTCACTGATCGGTCTCTTCATTTGTTCCTTCTTTTGCCCCCCTTGAGCCAACTCTTTCGCCGTATAACATCTATCGGACCTAGTCATACCTTGAGCTAAAGTAGTTTCAATCACAAATTTTGGTCGTGCAGGAGTTTCTATTGACACCAAGGCAACAACCTTTTCGGGTATCAAAATTACAAATTCATTTTCTCTGATGCTCAACAAGCTATTGCCTTCTCCAGTTCGTCTTGAGCGAACAGAACTATTGCCTTTGTCACACACCAATTGTTATCTGTCTCTATCATATTGATAGTGATGCCCATTATTTGACAAACGATTATTATTGACATTGGGCGTGACTGTCTAGAGAGAAACCACCTTCTGGTCAGTCAGATCTTTGATCTTGTGCTTAAGGTTTAATACAATCTTCGGTATCATATCTGATACTGTTGGAATAATACCTGCACTTCTGATAAGGTCTACAAAACTTATAGCTAGTTTTCACCGGCTTGGGCCCCACTGGATCAAAATGAAAAGAAGCCTTAGTACTGGCCTAGGCGATAAAAAGCCAGACTTGGGCCCAACTCTTTTTCCTTCTTTACATTACTATATTTATTTACGTATTAATGTTTGTCGTTTGTTTAAGGTTGAAAAGTTCAAATTCCCAAAAAATGCTTATCTCGTTTGAACAATTCAACTAAAATCAATGATCTTTAAATGAAGTTAAAAGATAAAATTTTGAAAGCAAATATCTCACATGGGTAACAAGTTAATATCTTTTCCTTTCCCCTTTTAAATGGTTTTGACGATAAGAATTATTTAATTCAGAAAAAGATCAAGTTATGTCTTTTAGGCAAAACAAATTAATTGCCGAATAATAGCAAGTAATCGAACATTTTAGGCGCTTTCAAAACCTTCCTAAGATGTTAATATGAACCTCGAACCTTTTAAAAACTCTTTCAATTGATATCCTATTTAGTCAATTGAAAGAAAAAATAGTTTTCTAGATTTTTCTTTAAAAAGATTAAGTGGAAACTATAAACAACTCATAATAATATTTTCCCCAAAATAAAACATTAAATGATTTGCAATTTAACATGCATGTCTCCTCAAATAGGCCTAATAATTCATAGTTCAATCTTCACAATTCAACATTCAAACAAAATAAATAAGTCATCTCAATGACAATTAGTTCAATCACACGCAACAAGTATATCAATTATAATTAGCAACCAAGTCACGCATAAGCATCAAATGCATCAAGTCACAATAATCAATCTCTTGCCGAAATTATTTTCTATTGGCATAATATCTCTAGCCTGAACCATTTTCCATCGGCTTTATGTCAAATCACAAGACAAAATCTTTTTTCATTAACTTTATATCAATTCACTAGCCGAAATCATTTCCCATCACCTTTATATCAAATCATTAGCTAAAATCATTTCCTATCGACTCTATATCAAATTACTAGGTGAAACCATTTCTCATCAGCTTTATATCAAATCACTAGTCTAAACAATTTTCTATCGACTTATTAAACACTTGTTGAAAATGACCTCGCATCACGACAATCGCGAACAAAAACCTCGACATTATAACACTCACCAGTAAAGACCTCGGCATCATAAATCATCACATGTCTTATCACGCTGTTCAAAATCAATGCGCACAAGTCATATCACACTTGAAAGAGGCAATAATTCATACAATTCAAATCCACATTAACACTTTCAAACATTCATCAATCAATCAACAATGGTCACAATAAGATAATTCACATCATCATATTCATCACGTAAGATTTTTCGTTTCAACTGCTTTTTATCCATTTAAATATATTAAGTGGGCAATTAACCCTTCACCTCATCCTCATTGCTCCCAACACACAAACAACGAAGGAAGCATACAAATTTAACTAGAATATAAGGTTTAGGAGATCAATTGCCTTAAATCAATCAACAATCACTCCATTAGTTGAGTCTTCCCCTTCCAAATCACTTCCAAAATTACACAATCCATATACCAACAAGTATTCACAATAAATTTCTGGAAACAACATTACCCACATCAATCCTCTTGAAAGGTGGGTCAATCAACACAAAATCCAATTCTAAAATTATGATTTAAAATTGAAATTTAATACATGAAAACATCACTCAAGGCTTTAAAAACTCATTAGGAAAAATTATTTCGAAATGAGACTTAAAATTAGTTCAAACTCCCTTTTAGCTAAGAACTTGTGTTTTTGGGAAACCTCATCATTCACCAATGAAAATCTCGTATTTTGATGTTAAAACATGATTTAGCATGGAAAATCCTTTTTGAGTTTGCCACCAAGGTCTCCAAGTTCAAAAAAATGGTGAAATGGGGCTTAAATCTCGAAATTTTCAGGCCAAAATCTTTTTTTACGTTATACAAGCAACCAAAGGTTCGCTTAAGAAAACTCCGCTAAAAACGTGGGCCTCGATTCTGCGACCAGTCCTTCGCTTAAGCATAGGTCGTTAAGCGATGAATTCTTCATAATTGTGAAGGTCAATATGGGTTGACCCTTTGCAAAGGTGATCCAACCCTCGCTGAACCGAGTCTCGCAAAAGTGAGCCATCTATTGTAAAAGCAGAGCGCACCAGAACTCAAACATTTGAAAATCAGTTAGCACTTTAAACCTCAAAAAAACCCTTATGATTTGTTAGGAGCCCCGTACATTCAAACCATATATGTAAATCAATTATACTCGATGTTTCGGACTCAATGAAATCGTCACAATACGAATATGAGGTCTCTTTGACACGACATTTGTAAAAGTCACAAGAAATTAACTCACGCCTAAAAAGGCTAATAAACTCAGGCCTCTCAAAAAAATAAACCATGACCGCGCCTACACCTAAAGTTATGCCTTGAATCAAACGGAACTCTCATAATTTTTATCCGAACATATGAACCCCGAAGTTGACCAAAGTCAATCCAAACACTGAAATTCCACAATTCACAACTCATGACCTCAAATCCTAAAAAAAAAAACCTCTGAATGTAAAATCGACAACTCTCATGGATCATATTTTAAATTTCAGGAGTTGGAATTGATGAAATTCAATCCGATACTCGAAACTCAAAAGATATCGAAAACCACTTTCTTAACAACTGATTCTTTCAAAATCAAAACTTATCAAATTTTTAACTTTTAACATAAATATCAATATCGACTTTCAAACTCAATCATAGAAGACTCGGGGTCGATATTGGAAGGAAATTATGATAAATTTACAAAACTTTTCAAAAATGACCTGTCAGATCATTACATTAATATTATGGATTATCAAGTATTTTGACTTGTAGTACTTTTTACATAGTTAACAAATATATAAATTTTATTTCAAAAATATTGAAGATCACGTGCGTTCAAATTTTTGGTCAAACTTAAATTGTTTGACTCTAGAAAAATGAAATGTGTCACATAAATTGGGGTAGAGGGAATTATTGATTTATTTTTATTGGGTTATTGGATTAACAATTTGTTAATCGTTTTATAAAATAAATTATCGAGTTACCGATTCGGTTTTGATTTTTTTTATATTGATTTTTTTGGATGAATCGATAACCTATTAAGACTGCAGTAATTTACTTCTTTAGTCATACATAAATATATATTAGATATTAATCTCAATACCTTACTAGTTACTGTATTTACCCTTTAGCCTTCAATTCACACTTTAAATTGACTTTGAGTTCACAACTTCACATCATACAAAATGTCAAAAACTAAAGTAAGAACTCTATTGCTCTCAATTTCTCTTTGTTTTATACTTGTATAATTTTTTTCATGTTAGTTATTATTATTTCTATTTTATGAGCATTTGTGAAATTATATTTTTGTCTTGTCGTGTCTAATTGTTGGAGAAGTCGTATACTTGTATTTATAATCATTTGGTTATTGGTTAAACATAAAATCTATCCATAATGGACAAAACTGATAAATTGAAAATCGATGAAAAATATATTATTGATCTGGTTATACGTTTTTTAGCGTATTTAAAAATCGAAAATCGATAAATCAAACCAATAATACAT